ATATAAATATAATGATAATATACATATAATATATATATATATATATATATATATATATATATGTATATTGTATATTGTATAATGATTATATATAAACATATGTATAGGGTGTTTCTCTAAATAAGTGCGAAAAACTCCAGGAAATGATTCTTCATAAAAAATGAAGAGGGATTTTTCATATAAATATTTTATATAAACTCTTCCCTATTTTCCTCCTCAAAAAGTTACACTCCTCTGAAAGGGAAGGTAAAAATAGGTTTTCAATTTTTTTCTCAAATTTTGGACAAGTTAAAAAAGTGGAAATTGATGGCTATTTTCCATTAGTAAAAAGATATTTATTGGTATTTTTAATCTTTCTATCGTTATGAGGAAAAACTAATAACCCTTATATTCAATTTTCTATTAGAACTCTTTAACCGAGCCAAAATGTGACCACCTAAAAATATAGGTTGATTTTGTCAGGAATTTTTTTATTTTATTTTTTATCGTAAAATCAATAATTTTCAAGAAAAAAATAACCTCATTTTTATGTCTTCCTTTGAAAAAGTATAATTCCTCAGGAAGGGATGTAGAAATATGTTTATAAAAAAAACCCTTAAATTTCGACAAAGACTCATCTCCTAAAATTTTTCGCATTTATTCAAAAACACCCAGAATATAATTATTATATTTACATATATATTATAGATTATATATAAATATAAATATATATAAATATAGTGATTATATGCATAAATATAAATAAATATATAAAATATAGAAATATTATACATATATTTTATATATTATATTTTATATACAGAGTGTCCCAGAATTACCGTATCACACGTTAATGGGAGATTCTTGAAGCGATTTGAAGACGATTTTTCCTCAGCGAAAATGTCGAGAAAGGTCATCATTTTTTTAATGTTCTCAATTTTTGAAATCATGTATCTTTGTAACTAAGCCTTAAATCAACATTCTATTAAAGTAAACTTTACATGAAATTAACTAAAAAATGTAGTTTTGTTAATAATTTATTTTTACAAAGCTTAGTTTACAAAAAAGCTTTTATTTTCAATCATTTATAAAATTATTGGTGTCTGGACATTTTCGTTAAGGAAAAATCGTCTCCAAATCGCCTCAGGAATCTCCCATTAACGTGTGATACGGTAATTCTGGGACACCCTATATGTATATATTATAAGTATTATTTATATATGTATATTTTTGTATGTGTCCAATTTAGCCACCCCATATATCGCTTCGTGGCAGCGCCCGGTTGGTTGCGGCGTGAAACCGGTGGGTATGATTACCCACTTTAGTTAACGATCTTCGTAGCCCCATGGCGGTTCCGAAAGGTCAGAAAGAAAAACGCAAGAAGAGTGGAGCAAAAATGAGAAAGAAAGAGAAAGAAAGCGACGAGTCGACGACTCGTCGCCGTTTATATCCGCCTTTTACGCTTTTGTCCCGTACAGGTTTTTGCACGTTTCTCTTTCTCTCTCTCTCTACGGCGCGATTAACAATAAGGCATTAACAATAAGCGCGGAAGTATTCGCCGTATGAAATCGTCGACGAAAATTGTTTTGCGCGACTGTTATGCTTTCATAATTATAAAGTTTTGCAATTATAAGGTAGAGAACGGACGGATAAAAGCACTCTAGATGCAACGTATTAGCTTTTATCTTTGCAAAAAATAAATTAGAATTATGAAATAAATTTAGAAGAATTAATCAAAACGTTTGCGTTTTATAATTTTCAGTAAAATATCAATAAATATTAATTTTCTTGTATCATATTTAAAAATTGCTCATGTTACATCTATTCTTCTACATGAGTAAAATAAGACATATGTGATATAATAAAAGGCCAACTTAACGAGCTTATATGCTATTAATTGAAAAATTTATTTATTAATTTACTTCATACTATACAAAGTTCAGATAATGAAACTGCGTTCGTCATATAATCTTATAATTGATGATGTCGAAATGACTAAATTAAAAAATTTTTAACATATTATTAGGATATTGAGAAAGACTGTCGTACAGTCGAAACGTTTATCTGAACTTTTGTATAGTATGAAGTAAATTAATAAATAAATTTTTCAATTAATAGCATATAAGCTCGTTAAGTTGGCCTTTTATTATATCACATATTTTTAATTGTATACGAGCCGAAGTTTAATTTATAAAATATATATAAAGTAAGACACTTATAAAAAGAAAAAAGAAATGAGTTAAAAACCAGTCTATACGTCGTAGATTATTATTATTTAAAAAATATTTAAAAATAATTAAAATTAATTGTATTAAAAATTTTTTAAATATTAAAAAGTTAAAAAAAAATAATTAAAAATTTTTTTAATAATAACAGTCTATGAATAGGCTGGTTTGAGCCATACTTTTTTCTCATTATTTTTTTGTATAAGTGTTTTATTTTCTGTAAACGGGGAAACACTTGTATAAAAGTATATAGTTACCGAGATGTAAAACGAGCAAATATCTCGGTCGTTAGCTGCGAAATATATAAGGAATACATTCTATGTACCGTTAATTCGCTCAAGAAGCGTAATCCTATCAACATACCAGCTCCTAACATTTAACACCCTCGAGACCGCTAGTTTTTATAGTTCACCCTTTCGTTACGGCGCGTTAAATTGCTTCTTTGAGGTTTGCTTGCTAGCAAAATGTAAATGTGTTGTAATTACTTTTCATATTTCCATCTTATAGTATCAAATGTGTTTGTAATCATCTCAGGCGTTTGTAGAATTTTTTCCAGAAGGGAACATCATTAATTTTTTTGTTTTTTAATTTTGTTAATTTCTTAATTTTTTTAAATATATTTTTGTTTCATATTACATATGCAAATAAATTTTAGTGTTTATTTAAAAGGAGAGCAAGTGCTGCCCCCTCTTGCTCCTCTCTGCAAACGCCGCTGTGTATATATTATATATATATATATATATATAAGAAATTAAAAAATTATATAAAAAATTAAAACATTTTTTTTAAAAGTAACTAACAGAATTTATTAATTTTATATATATATATATTACACACATGGCGTTCGCAGAAGGGGGCGAGAGGGGGCATTTGCCCCTCCTTGGAATCAGTAAAAAATTAAGCACTTGCTCTCCTTTTGAATAAACACTAAAATTTATTTGCGTATGTAATATAAAACAAAAAAAATATATTTTAAAAAAATTAAAAAAAAACCACAATTAAAACACAAAAAGAATTAATAATGTCCCCTTCTGGAAAAATTGTGATATATAGAAAATCTAGGTTCAAACATGCTTAAAGATTTTTTTAAGAAATTAAGAGAACTGATTTTCTGCGCCAGAGTCACAAATGTGAAGACGCGAAGGAATCGTGTCGACCTGAAAAAAGGGGGGCCACACTTTCTCTGTCCGGTAGGCAAATCCCGGTAGGTGGGATCCAGCACAGCACGGCAACACGATCGCCGCGTAAAACGTAATATTTTACGAGGATCCGCGACGATGACGTATCGCGGACGACGCGCGTAAACATGGAAGTTGATACAATTCGGTCCCTCGGTGCCCCTCAAACACACGCGCGTGTGACATAACTACGGCGGTGATCTCGGCCGTATATTTCACCGGATGGCGGCGGCGCCGCCCTGTGTGACAGGCAGTATGCAAAACGCGTGCGTGTTCGCAAGCGTGAAATTACACGCCGTATACATGCAAGTGTGACCTGAGGTGGGTATAGGTAGGTAGATAGGTAGGTAGGTAGGTAGGTAGGTAGATTGTGTATATATACGGCGGGTATAACTGCGGGCGATCAACGTGGCCGCGCGCACACACGCGGATGATGGCAGGGGAGGCTGGGAGAAGGACGAAAACCCTTACTTCGGAATTTCGTAAATGGGGCCGCGTAGCGCGCAATTAGTGTAATAAAGTGCTGGATGCGCATCTGCCGGCGCCGGCGGAATTGCGTATTCACGCGCGCTAATTCACGACAACTCTCTGATGCCGTCGACGTTGCAGCCAATAGTTGCGATTCGATAAAATGGAGATTCTGAATGACAAATGGTACGTGTACGTCGACGCTACGTTGCATCCACAACGGCGCGTTCGGTCGGAGAAGTTGCGCGACGAAACCGATTAATTATACGTGTGCGTGTGTATGTGAGATATAATTCCGGGATAGATAGATCGCCGATTGAGCAACAGGAAAAGCACATGTTATCGTGAACAAATATATGATGGCATTTTTGTTTTCTCTTTTTTGCAAAAATTTAAAGAGACTCATGTAGAAATTAGATTTGGCTGTCTATTTAAATATTGTGAACCAGAAGATAAAAGAAGAAAATTTATAGGATCTCAGCTCTTTAGAATAAGTTTCTTTATTGTATATATGTACATTCTAACTCAGGTAAAAAGGTTGTTATTTTGGCATCAAATGACTTCTGTTTCTATCTAGATAAAATTTTCCATTCATACGTTTGCAAAGAAAATTTTTAAGAATACAGTATTTTTAACATTTAATAACAATCTAATAATTGGTTCATTAATTGCAAAATTAATTTGGAGAATAGGAAAGTGCAATATATTATCATTGCATATAGACGCTAAAAATATGTGCAAAAAAGATATAAAATAAAAATATAAAATAAATATATATATATATATATAACTTAAATATAAAATATAAATAAAATATATAAATATAAACTAAAATATATAAAATTATAAAATAATTTATAATTAATTTTTAAATCTTAAGTACAAATTTATTTAAATATTGTTTAAAAAAATATAATTCTTAATTTATACATATAAAATATAAAATATAATTTATACATATAAAAGTTATTACTTTTCAATATATTTACAAAAAATTTTCTATGAAACTTTATAAAATTTATAACTATAAAATCACAATACTAAAAAATAAAATAACATGCAATTTTAACAAAAACTTAAATATTGCAAGAATATATTTTTTAAAATACTATTAAAAATATTTTTAAAAATTGTTAGAAGACCTTGAAAAGAACTAATCTTTACCCTTGGAACACATGCTGGGAGGTTAGACCGTTTCCATCCACAGGCCGTTTAAATACAATTCATTTCCAGTATTTTTGAAACTGGTGGAAGTTATAAGCATTGGAATTTTGAAGGAGGGAGACGTCTTTGTCATTTCTTTATATCTTTCTCATTCTGTATTTGGCAGCATTAGTGCTTCAATAGCAATCGAGCTATACAGTGTTAAATCGTTACAAAAGTGGTAAGTATAAAAAAAGTATAAGTAAAAGTAATTTTTTTACTACATATTTGTGACGCACATAGTACGTGTAATTAATAAAAAGTATAATATGTGAATATTATCTTATCTTTTTGTATCATTCTTTTCAGAAAAGTGAGGTTAGTTTGTAGCGTGACACGTGGCGTGATCGGTTTTCGAAGGTATTTATTTGAATAGGACATGTTTTAAGCAAGATAAGATGTTTTTTTAATTAAAAATTAATGAATAAAATATTTTCTAAATTATGTTACATTTAAATTTAATAAAAAATATAAATAAAAATAAAAATAATGAACAAACCCGCTCTGTATTTGAATAACAAATTAAAGAGGTGAATTAAGGCCAAATATAGAGCAAACATTGAAAAAATAGTGCTTGCTTAAATTTTCTTGATTTATCTCTCTCTCTATCATAGTTTTAAACATTTACTTAGACTTAGTTATTTACTTAGACTGGTATCAAAAAGAGACTTTTTCTGGCAGGGTGTTGTCATATTTTTCCAATCATCCCCTTTGCCATAAAATTGCAATAATTTATAATTTAATAGACAGGTGTTTATTATTATCACATCCACCATTTTACAATAAAAATATTATGTTGGTGGTCAGAATACTTTTGAGCAATGGTTATCCTCTTGACTTAGTTTTCAACAAGATTAATCACTGTATCAAACATCTTGTTTCCAATGGTATTATTTTAAACAGATACATTAATAACGATGATAATAATACTAAGATTGCGTCAGCAGAAGAAAAAAAAACTATTAAAAAATTCGTAGTCATTCCGTATATTAATTGAATTTCAGATATGGTTGTTTCTTCGATTAAAAAGTCGAATAATGTCAATATCGGATATAGATGTTTGAATAAACTCAACAATATTATAAAAGCTCATAAAAACCAAAATGTGCATTTACAGAATTCTGGCGTTGTGTATAAGATCTATTGTAATGATTGTGATGCATCATGCGTGAGTCAGACGAAGAGACAATTAAAAACTAGAATAAAAGAACACAAAAATAATATCAAAGGAAACATTAATAGGTTCTCAGTAATATCGGAACACATTAACAAAGAAAAACACGAATTTAAATGGGATAATGTCAAAATTTTAGATCATGAAATCAATTATCATAAGAGGATTATTTCTAAAATGTTACATATAAAAGAACAGAAAAACGGAATAAATTTAAATAAAGATACTGAGTTGTTATGTGATTCGTATTTTGATGTACTTGAGAAGTTAACAGACATAGATAAAAAACAAACAATACATGTATAAGTTATAATAATATAGATAGAATATGCTCTCATCACAATATATAAAGGGACAATGATACTATTTTATCACAACTGTGTGGAGAATAAAAAAGAAAAATTCAAATTGGCAGTGACAGATAGTGACATTCATTTTACTTAAGTAAGCTATTTATTATATTAATTGTTAAATCAAAGAGTTTTTGTAATGCACACGATCGCGGTGGTAAAATTGTATCATTATATTTAGGGGCAGAACTAATGGGACAACGATTTCCACGTCGACAAACGTTCAATTCAGAACTTACACAGTTTTAACAATTATGACAGAGGAAAAAATTAGTAATAGTTTATATAGGATTATGGTATGACATACGGAAAAATAAGAAATTTGATATCTTTTGTTTGGTTTTAACTTAATGACTCTCAGTTCCAAAGTCGTATATGTTAAATTTTGTTTGGTTTTTTAAAATAATGTAATATAATTTGTTTATGTTTTTAAATTATTTGCACATCATTAGGATGATTATATTTATTAATTTCAACACTGAAGAAGACTGTAGTACAGTAAAAACGTTTGTACAACTTCAAATTATGTGAATTTTCAACATTAAAATTGTTTTATACATTAAGTTAATTTGTTTTTCAATGTTTGCTCTATAGTTGGCCTTAATTCACCTTTTTAATTATGTTACATTTATATAATAATGCAATTTTCTCTTTTTTCTTACCATCTTCATGAAGATGGAACAGATAATCTCATATGCTATTGGGGCTACAGACAAGGGATGGATTGTAGAAGATTTTGGTATAGGAGTCGTTGTGAAAACAAAAAAATTTTGACGATAACAAAAACAAAAGTAAAGATAAAAAATATCTAACTAAATTCCCGATTATACATAAATATAAAACAATCTCTGACTTCGATAAAAGTAAGACAAAAGTTTCGACTGGAACAAAGAAATCTTATGAAGAGACAGAAAGCGAAAAACATATGACCGTACCATCTACTAGTGGATCTACAGACAAGGGATGGATTGTAGAAGATCTTGAGAAAAAAGTCGTACTAAAGTCCAAAAAAAATTTTGACGATAACAAAAACAAAAGTAAAGATACAAAATATCTAACTAAATTCCCAATTATACATAAAAATAAAACAATCTCTGACTTCGATAAAAGTAAGACAAAAGTTTCGACTGGAACAAAGAAATCTTATGAAGAGACAGAAAGCGAAAAACATATGACCGAACCATCTACTAGTGGATCTACAGACAAGGGATGGATTGTAGAAGATCTTGAGAAAAAAGTCGTAGTAAAGTCCAAAAAAATTTTGACGATAAGAAAAACAAAAGTAAAGATACAAAATATCCGACCAAATTCTTGACTATCCATGAATATAAAACAATCTCTGACTTCGATGAAAGTGAGACAGAAGTTTCGATTGGAACAAAGAAATCTCATAAAGAGACAGCGAACAAAAAACATATGACCAAAAAAACACAATTTATTATATGAAACATACCGAAACAGACGATACATCTGAATCTGATACGACGGAGGGTTCATGTGATTTGAAGAAAGAAGATGTATCGAGTCGATGCACAAAAAGCACTGGAGCAATAATAAGAGCTCTATAATTTGTCCACTAAAACGTTTTGTCTGGACGTTTCAGGAAGACTCGGACTCGGACTCATTGTTAGACACAGACTCGGACTCGGACTCATTGTTAGACACAGACTCGGACTCGGAGAGCTCTATAATTTCTTCATCAGAATGTATTGTAAATATCCAGTCCGATCAGATGGACACGAGCACAGACACGGACTCAGACTGGGACTCGGAGAGCTCTATCATATCTAAACAGATGGACACGGACATATGGTAGATATGGACTCGGACTCAGACATGGACTAACATAGTTTATCAAGGTGAGGTTTTAAATATGATCAGATATACAATTTTTAAAAAATTCCTTGAATCTCACAATCAATAAAATTCCTTGAGAATTTTCAGTTAAGAAAAGGTAAAGATAAAAAAAATTTCGCATCATCTTCGATTTTTTGAGAAAGCAGATGCCTTGTATTATGATGATCGATAGCATAGACGAATTCGAATTATTAACCGCATAATTAACTGCAAGTGTTCGACTTGACTTGATGGAAACGCGCGCGGCATTTATTCCGTCGACACGGAACGATGACGTTTTGCGGCGATCTTGCGCGTTAAATAAACGAATTCGCGAATTTAAGCGAAGGATAACGAGATATCGTTTTATTTCCCTCGCGCGAGTGTAGAAAGGCCGTACAAGGGGGCTGTTTGCACGATCATAATTAACCGGCGCGTGAGCTCCTCTCTTTCCAACATTCTTCTTTTCCTTTCGCTCCTCTCTCTCTCTCTCTCCTCCACTGACCGGTCAGTAATTAATCGCATGGCGCGCGAGTGACGTTTTATTTAATTTCGTCATTATATCTCCGGGATAGACAGGAGAGCCGACGAGAGAGAGAGAGAGAGAGAGAGTAATAATTAAAACCTTTCGGTTCGACAACTCGCGCATTGAACCGTGCGTCGGAGATGGGAACATTTTTTTATTGCGAAAAATCACCGACCTGACGGAGGTTTGATTTCATTAATATTTTCCGATCGACCAGAAAGTCACGTGACACTTTTGCGCGTCTCATCCGCGAGGGTAATTGTTAATTGGGCAACTGTTGTTTTCGTTGGGGACGGCGTTTCGGCAATTTTTCGTATCTGGTGTGTTTGTATTAATTGTTCGTCGGAATCATTCGATCGTTTTTCGCGAGAAACGTGGAGTTAAATTTTAATTCGCGAACTTGATATAATTATTATACCAACGACACATTGCAATATACATTTTTGTGTGTAAAAGAGCGTGTAGGATGTATTGTGCGCGAAATAAATAGACGGAAAGCTATAGAGAGCGCGAATAAAGAATAAAAAATTTCTTTCGTATACATCTGTATATTGCATCAAATAAACATGGTGTTTATAAAATTCTAGAGCGTATGCCTCATCAAAATAAAAAAAATTATATTAATAATTAATTATTTATATGTATGTACATATATACATAGTCAAAAATGAATGGTTGCGAAGTTATAATTTTAAAATTATTATTAAATAATTATAAGTAACTCAAAAAAATACCAAAAATTGCCATCATCTGATTGTAATTCGTTTTTTAATATGAGTAATATATATACACTTTTTTCTTTATTTTTACGTGAAAAATACGCCTTAGAAATTTGTCCAAATATTTCGTAAACTTCGTTTTCGGCTTTTCAACGGAGAAAGTGAGATTAAACAACCTCCAAAGTTTTTTTAAGTTTTTATTATTTCACAATTGATGTAAATCCTGATGCTCTCCAATTTGGTAAAAATTAAAAATTAATAACATAGAGTTTGTACTTTGTTTATATATCTGTATTTTTGTACTGCACTCCATTTCGTTTGTACCTCAAAAGGTACAATTTTTAATTTTTAAGTATCTTATAAAGAGTAACTTAGTCCTTCTTTAAAGATATCATGAAACGGGTTTAACAGTTTGTTTTTAATTTTGTTTATGTATTTCAAAGAGTGATATTAAAAAAAATGGCTAATTTATCATTTTAGAGTTATACTATAACAAATTGAAAAATATTGTAGGTTTGACTCCTTTGAGATAAATGAAAATGGTACAAATGATTTGCTATTGAAAATAATATTAAGGGAATTAAAATATTTTAAGATTGACTGTGGGTCATTCATTTTCTGACTGTCTTATATTTTTTAATCCCTTGAAGCACAAGCGAAATAAAGTACGACACAAACAAATACAAAGTACAAACTATATATTATTAATTTGTAATATTTATAAAATCAGACGCCAGGAGAGATTACATCAACATTTTACAAAGAGATATTCTTGAAGTTCATAAATATTTTTTAATAAGATATTTGTATCTCTTTCATTTCATCAATTTATAGAAATGGTCTTCAAGCAATAAACGTGAGTAAACTAAATACAACATCTATAATCAATAATTGTTTCTACATAATTAATTGAAGTCTGACAAAATCTGTGAATATTCGGCAATATATGATTTTCGAGAAATATATAGTCTCTAATTACTGATTATTTGATCAATTGGACAAACCTGATAAGTGATATTTAATCAATCATTAATTAATCGCATCTGACTGATGTGATTCAAATTATGCCGTGAGATGTTCTTTATCTCGCGTGATTGCTATTTTAATATAATCTTCATATAATCAAGTATATCATTCAGTCATAATATTGATATATTAAAATATAATGGCAATATATAATACGCGATTTTACAGCTTGTTACTTCCATTTTTGTTATCATGATTATATATAATTATCATTTCAATCAACATATGCAAATAATATATATATTCAATCACAATTTTTTTATTCCTTTTTTTTATTTCTTTTGATTGTTTTGTTACTAATAAAAGCTTATTAGATTTTATATAGCGTATTAGATATTTGCTTTAATTTAATTAATATTTATTTTCTTAAAGAATTTATAAACTAATTTTTAAAATGACTTAGTGATATAATTTCAATTAGAATCACTACCGTATAATACATTTTTATTTTATTTTATTGATGTTTAATATTATTTATTTTTTCTGTTCTAGTTTTTCTGATCGTCGAATAGTGAATCTTGATGGAAGTAAAATACGTTCGTGTTAATATTTTTATTTTCTACATTAAAAATAACATTTTTCGTACGACTATCTTTGTCTATAATTAATTAATTCGTTTAATAGAAAATTAATAAAATAATGATTACTTTTTACTTACGAATAATTTTAAAAATATGTCGTTTTCGAGAGAACAAAATAAATGAATATACATCACGAAATCTCTTTCTCATATATCTTCTTTTGTTTTCGTATTACTTTTTGAATACCGCTTCCAATATATGTACGTTTATCTTATATCTCTTCGGAAGTCTGTAATACCGTACATATGCAAAGGAAAGATAAGTCAATGATACCCATTCCATTAATTCGTCCTCTTGTTCTCGCTGATGAGATGTCGAGATAGGACGTCATTACTTCAGGAATAAGGTAAAAAGATGCGAGGAGAGCGATATATTTCTCTACGAAAAAGAGGGACGGAGAAGAGGTGGTTCTCGTTCGTGTAACGTGTCTGCAGATACTCTCGCGCGTCCAGACTGGATATCATCAGATCAGAGATAAACCCGCTTCCGCCGTATAGAAGAATTACAGACCGCGCTGCGTCGGGCGTGAAAAAGATGAATCAAGCCGCGCGCAACACGCCTTCTGTTTGACATACAGTACATCTCAAGCACATCGTTTGTGGAAATAATGCCCGCTGACGCACGGCATCGGAAATAGAAGGCATCACTCCAGGAATATTAATGCTACGAAACATTGCTTATATGTACGGGGTGTCCCATAGAAAATCGCTGAAACTAATCAGCTGTCATTTCCCGAGAAAAATTTTTGTATATATAACAAAATATAAAGTTATATAGAAATATATAAAATTATACACCCATACTGCACAAAATATTATGAATGTTTTCAAAAAATATTTCTAAATATTTCTATAAAATATTGCATAAAAACATTTTAAAATAATTTTAGAATATTTTAAAATAATTTATAAATTTTTGTGGTAACATTTTTTAGAATACTTTAAAAAACTTTTAAAAATATTTTTAAAAATGTTCTTTATTGCTCAGATAATATTTTCTTAAATATTTGATACATATTTTTAAAATATTAGTTTAAATCTATATTCAAAAATATTTCTGAAAATATTCTTTAAACATGAAAAAACGGACATAGAAACATTTTAAAAATATTTT